TTGTATATGAACTGAATTAAACCAGACTTTTATTTTGAAATATCCAGTTACCAAAACAGGATGTGYCGCCACAAGTTCATGAAATTGACATTGATGTTGTGTGGCTGCACTGTGTTAAAATATCAGCATATGACATACTTCCATGTGTGGCTGTGTGATATATTCATTCTGAAGCTGAATTAAAGCAGTAGGCTAACTCGCTAATGGTGAACATGTGAGTTTGTTAATAAACCAGCWGGCAYAACAGTGATAAACTACTTTTGTGAGGGAACGCAATAYTATTGCGTGGGAACGCAAAAGAAAAAAAATCTCCCATGTCCCCTCGCGGGCTCCGTACTTTTCAACTACTCTGCTAATTTTACCTTTTTGTTCTTTATTCAGATGTTTTCTAATCTCAGCTGTTTTTGCACATTTTAGCTACTTTTAAGCTTTTTTCAGCTAAAGTCACCTTTTTTGTGGAAATTTCAGCTTCAGTAGCTGTAACATTTACTACAGCTACTTTGCTGTTAATTTCAGCTTTTTTGACTATTTTACAACAAATCACAGTTTTTTTTCAGTAAAAATCTTTTAGCTTTAAATTTAATTTAAATTGTCTAGTTTGAAGTTGCTCTTACTTGCGGAAGAGTTCGATATGAACAACAGCAGGAGCGATTTTCTCCACCACATCAGCGATGAAGTTATACTTGTATCGAAGACTGTCGGGGTTCTGCTGACCTGAAATATATAAAAAAACAGCATCAGTTTAAAACACCTGCAGGTTCTGTTGCTTCTGAAACAACAGAACCGAAGCATCAGGAGGTACAAGGAGATGTTAGGAGGAGAATCAAAGTGTTCTTTTTAATTCCAGCACCTCATGTAACCTCTCTTTGGTTTGACTCCAGATGTGCCACATCTGTCAGAGCCAGACATTATGGTGGAAGTTCTGCTGGGATCAGTAATTAGGTATTTCCCTCTTTCTGGGCCTCAAAGATTTTATCTCAGCCCCTCAGCCCAGCACTATTAAATTAAAAATCCACTGTAATAAAACCAGATTTTAGAGCAAATTTAGAAACAAATCTTTGCTAAAGTTAGCTTCATGCTGCTGAGCCAGAGTTTAAAACTGGGCTTTTTCACCTTCATCCTGTAAAAAAACAACATATTTGTGTAAAACTCGGTTGGAAAGCCTGAGTGAGTGTAAAATACCAAACATTCCTGTCTTATCAAACCACTGATGTTTCATTAAATTTAACTTTGAACTTTCTTTTTTTTCACAGACAAACACGGGTGAAGGCGTGTCTCCTTCTGATCAGCTGATTCCTGCAACATATTTCATCTTATCTCCGTCTTCWTGGAGACCACCTGGCTTCACTTCATCATAACAATCTGATGGTTGGAAAAACAAGCTGCTTCTTAAACATTATAACTGCTGGAAGATGACGTCAGGTGTCCCTGAATGCAGCAGATGAGTTCAGGTGTCCTTGAACGCAGCAGATGAGTTCGGGTATCCCTGAACGCAGCAGATGAGTTCAGGTGTCCCTGAATGCAGCAGATGAGTTCAGGTGTCCTTGAACGCAGCAGATGAGTTCGGGTATCCCTGAACGCACAAGATGAGTTCAGGTGTCCCTGAATGCATCAGATGAGTTTGGGTATCCCTGAATGCAGCAGATGAGTTCAGGTGTCCCTGAATGCATCAGATGAGTTTGGGTATCCCTGAATGCAGCAGATGAGTTCGGGTATCCCTGAATGCAGCAGATGAGTTCAGGTGTCCCTGAATGCAGCAGATGAGTTCAGGTGTCCCTGAATGCAGCAGATGAGTTCTATGTCCCTAAACGCAGCAGATGAGTTCAGGTGTTCCTGAACGCAGCAGATGAGTTTGGGTGTCCCTGAACACAGCAGATGAGTTCAGGTGTCCCTGAATGCAGCAGATGAGTTCAGGTGTCCCTGAATGCAGCAGATATGTTCAGGAGTTCCTGAACGCAGCAGATGAGTTTGGGTGTCCCTGAACGCAGCAGATGAGTTTGGGTGTTCCTGAACGCAGCAGATGAGTTTGGGTGTCCCTGAACGCAGCAGATGAGTTT